AGTGATATTAATGCTACCTTATATAACGACAGGTTATAAGTCCCAGATGGTTTCTAAAATCACAAATTAGTTTTTGTGCAAATTGCAGATAGAGGGTATTAATGAATTCAAGCCCACGATATTTCACATTTTTATATTTGTAAGTTATTGGAAGCAGGGATGCCAACTTGACTCAAAGCGTGCCATTTGTTCTTATTTTACTTCAAATGGCACTTAATTTTTCAATTTGGCACAAAATGCCAAAATGGCACTTTTGTAAAAAAAATAACATTTCAATACATTTTTGTGAAATCCCTTGCGTGCACTTTTTTTCTCTACTAAAATTTTCTAATTTATAAAGGCTATTCAACTGGTTTATTTTATTTTATCATTGCACTTTTGTTTTGAAAATGTGGCTTTATTTTATTGCTAAATGTGAATGATTAAAAGGAATTACACCTTTTTTGGCACTTTTATTTTTCTATTTGGCACTTTTTTTATCCTCAATATGGCACCTCATAACTAAGGAGAGTTGGCAGCCCTGATTGGAAGATTTCTGCTGTGTTTTGAGGCAACAACGATGACAGTTAAAGCTTAGGTGGATTTTTATATCAGAATCTCATCTTTGTGAAAAGTGTGCAGATAGGGGGTATTATTGAATATAAGCCCTCGATGTTTAAAATATATAAAAATTTTATTTCAACGTATACAAAAAATAAATCTACCTGCGTTACAGCACGTCGGGAGACGGGGAAGGGGGGGCCGGGGGGCCGCGGCGTAGCGTGACGTGGTGTGCGCGCCGGTCGCGCGGTGTGGCGCGCTGACGCCGGCCACCGCGAAGCTAAGCAAATTTAAAGTTTGAAAGAGAAATAATGTCAATTGATTTTATTTCGTTTTTAAAATGGTTATACTGTCAATTGACTTTATTTCGCACCAGGGTGGGAAATAAAGTCAATTGACCTTATTTCCGTTGATCTTGTTACCTGTCACCATTTAAATTTAACGTTTTCTTTCTGCTTTTTTTCGTTGGTAACTGTTTTTTTGAAATTTTTGAATTTTTTAAATTGTATCCGTCCGTTGGGATGTTTGACAGGCATGACTTTTCTCTGCTATGGCGCAGGGAATAGTAGTGAGGCAATAACCCCGCCCAGCCGACATGACTAGCCACAGTGCACCCCATTGTGTCATGCCGCCTGCACTCACTGATGCTCCCAATGTATGCTTACCATAACAGATGGCGCCCAACGGGGTAGCCTGAGGTCTGGTCAGGTTGACTGATCCTGACTGGCACATTAGGCTTCACCATCCCGCAAGTCCCAGAGGGGCATGTGGTTGCTGCCCCTTGCTGCGTTGCGGCGGGATGAGCGGAGCTGAGTGTGCTGGTTCGGATTGGTCCTTTTGGTCAAAAACCGAAGGCTTCTCCGAGACTTCACGTCACGTCCTCCGGAGTTTTGGTGTTCACCCGGTGAGGCAGTGCTAAACGCACTTAGGTTTTTTTGGTAGTTGACTTTCTGATATGTCGGCATGGGAATTGGGGCAAAATAGTTCGCTAAGTGGGGTTTCGTATAAATAGATTTTTTTTTGTAATTTTTTTTTATCAGAAAAAAAAATTATATGCACAGAAATTTTTCTTTGGGACCCAGCTCACTCCATTGGTCTGCGCTGGCGCTCTTGAGTGCCTTCGTATTGCGATGGAGTGGACTGGGACTCCAACCAGCACTGACTATCGGGGTCTCAGTCACCCCACATGTCTCAGGGGGCATGCGTGACTTCCCTTTGCTGCATTGCGGTGGGGTGCACTGAGACCGAAAGATAGCTCGGAAAAATTGTACGCGAAGGCCAGTACACTCTTCAAGTCTGGAGGGGCATTCCACTATGCCGGCTTTTCATTGCGGTTGGATGTGCTGGACCAAACAGCGATAACGTTTTTTTGTTTTGTAATTTTTTTTACCTTAATTTTCCACGTAGACTACATTGTGCCTTCCTAATGTCAAGGGGGGTCAGAATTCCCATTGACTTTGATATAAAATTATACCCAACTGAACTTTCGCCTTACACGTATATGACCACGTATATATATAATAAACCCACTTGATATGCCTATTTACTAACGCTCATATTTGATTGTTTTCGTTTCATCCGGCGCGTATATTCGTATTCAGTACGCAGCTGAATAATTAGTTTTGCTATTTTTTTAATTTTTTTTGTCGGGATCGGGTTCGGTTACCGCGGCACTCGGCTAAATCTCATGACTTTTTATTTTATTTTAACACTTTTTCTCAGACGCTCTGGTGGCTTAGGCTGCTAACAGCAAGCCTTACTTAACTAAGAATTTTTTCTCGGATTTGGGATTTTTGGGGGACTCTGAGGGAGCAAGCCTTAAGCACCTATCGTTGACTTTCAATCTGAACTTGTCTCGACCTTAAGAGTCAAATTTCCCGATTTTCGTAAGTGCATTTGTCTCGCCTCTGAACACTCGGTAGATGGAACAGCAGCAAAGGCTCACGCGTAGTGTTTCAGTTAGAGGTAGCGGCGCTAAGTCAAGAGGGACCGGGAGGGATAACACTCCCGCTATGCCAGCAACTAATCCTCTGGTGATGCATTCACCGATTGCTGACCATACGGGAGGAGTTCTGCCTCCAATTCCGACGGGCAATCCCGCTCCGGGACTTAAAGTTGATAGCCGTCAAAGCTCAAATTTACTTGACACCTCACCACCTGGGACTTCGGTCCAGAAATTTTCCGCTACCTCCATGACTATGCTTTCGGGAAGACAGGAAAATGAGGCCAAGGAATGCCGGTTTTGGTGAAGGTGTTGCAGAAGATAGAAGTAGACGTTCTAATGGCGGAGCGCCCGCGGGAGATTCGTGGGTAGGAGTGCTTCATCAGCTCTTACGTACTCGCAAGATGAAATGAGAGCTGAAATGAGAACAATGCGGGAAAATATGAACGCATTAAGTGCAGTGGTAACTGCATCTCAAACTGCACCCAATGGCCCTAGGGACTTTGCTTCTATCGTGCGCAATCCGACACAAGCCACTTTGAATAACCGACCAAATTTCACCACTAATATTGTCATTAAGCCACAGGATTGAAAGGTATCCTATGACGGCACCGGTAGCGTTTCAGACTTTCTTTTTCAACTCAATACGTTGTGTGAGCGCACGCAATGTACAGATGAGCAGTTGATGGCAAGTTTCCACCTATTTTTGTCAGGGCGAGCTGAGGAATAGTATTGGTTGTTCACTAAGCAGAATCCAGATGCGACTTATCCCTTCTCGTGCTATTCTTTCAAGCGGGAATTCGGCACCTTAAAGAGTGACCATGAGATCATGATGGAGATCTCAATGCGTCGCCAGAAGGCTAATGTATCGTATGATACGTTTCATACAGATATATTAGCCTTGAACGCTAGACTAAAGGAGCCGATGTCGGAGAACCGGTTGATGGACATATTGAAGAGGAACGTTAACAGCAGCCTGAAGTTGATGCTTTTCAATGCTGGTGCGCAGACCCTACATGACCTACGTGACGTTGCTAGGAAAGGCGAACAGATCCTGAAGGAAACCAGGAGCTTGGTACCGAACTATTCAGGACGGCATGTCAACGAAACCATGGCTATTACACCGGATGAATGGACAGGAAGAATGGATGGAGAAGTGGATCCACAAGTGGAAGCGCTGAATTTCCAGAGGACTAGGAAACCGGACTACTCAGGAATACAGTGCTGGAACTGTGACACTCTTACATCTATTGCGAGTAAACGATTCGGAACGTGTTCTGCTTCAAGTGTGGACAGAAGGGGGTGGTCACTCCAAGATGCCCCAGAGATCATCGAAGACAGGGAAACCGGAACCTGAGCGAGAAGACAATCGGGGATTCTCGTTCGGCACCCTAGCCCCCGAAGCAGGGAGTACAAGAGCAGCAGCCTCCCCTTCTAAACCAAAAAGTAAGCCAGTCCCAACCAGAACCGTTCGTTTGCATGGAGATGTCAGTAGTTCGGAGAGTAATACCAGTCCCTCGAGGGTTTCACCACGGGTCATCATAACTTTCCCAGATAGTTCCGATAGTTCTGATTCCGAGGGTATGTTTCCTTCTACAGGCAATCCTTTGCAGGTTCGAATTCTTAGGCCTTGACGTAGGGATGTCGCATGCCAGACTCAATTCCCAGTTAGTTTAGAGCAAAGAGAAAAGGATTATGAACGGATAAGGGCGAATATTTTCGAAGAAGAACCAAAACTTGTAGTTTCAGAAAATATTCTACAGTGTAGGAAAAGATANGTATGTTTCCTTCTACAGGCAATCCTTTGCAGGTTCGAATTCTTAGGCCTTGACGTAGGGATGTCGCATGCCAGACTCAATTCCCAGTTAGTTTAGAGCAAAGAGAAAAGGATTATGAACGGATAAGGGCGAATATTTTCGAAGAGGAACCAAAACTTGTAGTATCAGAAAATATTCTACAGTGTAGGAAAAGATATTCTAGCCGATATGCGAAAACTTTTGCAAAGCACTAAAATTCTTATAACGCCAGACGAACGACCGCTAGCAAAGATTGAAATACACGATAGCTTCGTAGTGGGTTTATTAGATTCCGGAGCAAATGTTTCCATTCTTGGAAAAGATGCGAAGATTTCCTAAAGAGAAACAATTTAAAATATCATCCTTTGCGCGCGTTTGGTAACACGGCTGGTGGAAATCAGCAGAAAATACTCGGCTCGATATCCTTACCGGTCACTTTTAAAAATATTACGAGGACTATTTGCTTTTATCTTGTACCGTCATTAATCCAGGTAGCATACCTGGAAGTTGATTTCTGGAAGGCAATTGCGTTAGCACCCGATGTATTTCCAAGCGTTTCTTGTTTAGATTTTCCAAATGAGGATGAGCAAAACTTCCAGATCAGAAGATATCATTGCAAGAAGTTGTTCAGGAGTTTCCCTCGTTCGAAAAGCTAGGACTAAGTCAAACCAGTTTAGTGACTCACCATATAGACATGGGTGATGCCAATTAAAAGCAAGCACTTTCCTCTTTCACCACCCAGGCAGGCGGAAGCCTATAGCAAAATTGAAAGGCTACTTAAGATGGGAGCGATTGAGGAATCGAATTCACCGTGGTGTAGTCCAGTGGTACTAGTTCGGAAACCAGGCAAGGTCAGGCTGTGCATTGACTCCAGGAAGGTGAACGCGGTCACAAAGAAGGACTCGTATCCGTTGCCCCATATTAATGGGTCGTTGAGCAGGTTAAAGGACACATACTTTGTAAGTGGTATTGATTTGAAGGATGCTTTCTTTCAAATCAAATTAACGGAGTCGTCTAAGGAAAAGACGGCATTTGCGGTTCCAGGAAAGCCATTGTACCACTTTAAAGTAATGCGCTTTGGCCTATGCAACGGCCCACAAACAATTAGTCGGCTGATGGATAAGGCTATTCCTTCACGGTTACGAGAGAACGTCTTCGTCTACCTGGATGATCTGATGGTGTACAGCTCAAACTTTGAAGACCATTTGGAAATTCGGTATCTCAGGTACTTGATAGGGAATGGTTGTTTGAAAGTAGACCCGAGCAAGATTGATGCGATAAAGGATTTTCCGATTCCAAAGTCTCCTCGTCAGGTTCGTAGGTTTATAGGAATGGCAAATTGGTACAGGTCGTTTATTACCAATTTTGCAGATTTGGCGGGTCCCATGACAGATTGCCTTCGAAAGTCACCTGGTCCATTTAAATTAACTTCTGAGGCAGTCGAAGAATTTAGAAAGCTTAGGGCCGGTTGTTCAATGTCTGGTTATCACTACTTGCCGGTTAAACATCATTATCGACGATTTCGACAACATGCATATAACATGTGATCGATAAAGCAGTCGTTGTATCTAACCGGAGCTTCTACCTCCGATTTGTGCTAATCAGACATTGAACAATCGGCCTTTAAAGTTGCACTCTGTTCAGCGCCTGTCCTGGCACAACCAGATTTTACTAAAGAATTCGTAATTCAATGTGATGCATCCAAAATAGTGGTAGGAGGCGTGTTATTCCAGCTCGATGAGGAAGGGGCAGAGCATCCCAAGCTTTCGTATCGAAGAAGCTTAATAATGCTCAGCGGAATTATACAGTCACCGAGCTGGAATGCCTCGCCGCAATAGTTAGCGTCAAGCGTTTCAGACCATATATTGAAGGATTGCCTTTTCGAATAATTACTGACCATTCAAGTCTCAAGTGGCTAATGACACAAAAAGACTTGAGCGGCAGGCTGGCAAGTTGGTCGCTTCTATTGCAACGATACAACTTTAGGATGGAGCATCGCAAAGGTTCTTTAAATGTTGTGCCGGACACCCTTTCGCGTTTTGACGTGGAGAACTTTCTTCTACCCCACCTCTAGAAATTGACTTGGCATCACCGGAATTCGACGGCGTAGAGTACTCGGAGCTTCGTAAAACAATTGAAAACAATCACGAAGGGCTGCAGCAGGGATGCAGCAGTTTTTTGAAAACTATCTGGTTGTTCACATTAAGACGGGGTTATACTCCCCGCAGGCTAACGCCTCTGAACGAGTGAACAGAGAGATTGTTTCGAAAGTTAGAATATTCCTGAAGGACAAGCAATATCACATGGACTGGGACAAAAATATTCCCGAAATTCTGTCGGTTTTAAGAAGCGATTACCATACGTCGATTCAGAGCTCGCCATACTTCGCGTTATTTGGACAAAATATGATACAACATGCGTCAGCCTATAGCATACTGGAGAAACTGGGTAGCCTAAGACAAGACAAAGTCGCGATTACAAGCAGAGCTGACAAGTTAGGAAACATTCGCGAACACATACGAAAGAACCTTGAGCTAGCGCAAGACAGAGNATTATTTGGACAAAATACGATACAACATGCGTCAGCCTATAGCATACTGGAGAAACTGGGTAGCCTAAGACAAGACAAAGTCGCGATTACAAGCAGAGCTGACAAGTTAGGAAACATTCGCGAACACATACGAAAGAACCTTGAGCTAGCGCAAGACAGAGCAGCGAACACGTACAACAAACGTACGCGGGTTGTGAATTACCGGGAATGACAAGAAGTATTCCGGAAAAACTTCGCTCTTAGCAATTTTAAGCAAGGCATAAATGCTAAATTCTTGCCTAAATATATCAAGTGTCGTGTTCTGCGAAAGGTAGGCGATGCTTTGTACGATTTAGAGTAATTGAATGGCAAACCAATCGGTAGGTTCCATGCATCTGACATCCGGCCGTGACAATGTCATCCGTCACGAAGAGCGATCCGAAAGTAAAGTAGTTTTTTTTCCAAAATTTAATAATCACGTTTTTTCCAAAATTTTTTATATATACACGTTTTTTCCAATATTAGACTTAGCGATAGGGTAAAACCTTGACCGCCCGCAGACTGCCCGGGGTCCAACT